TTTTTCAGTTCCACACAGAAGTTTTTATTGATAATAATCCTGTTTGGCTTTGTAGCTTTCTCTTATTTATTTAGCAACATCTAATATCACAGATCTGATGCCTATAGTTAGTAGCATGTCATCTTCTGTTTAAACAACATTTCCTACTACCGGTTATTAAAAAAACAAACAAACAAAAAACAAGTAAATCATAAATGTAAAGCTAAAAAAAAAAAAGGCAGAAAATAATTTAAACTTTTGTTGTAATTTTAAATCCTAGCTCTCAAACAGTATATGATTTTGGTATAAAACTATTTTGTGCGTCAGTAAGGATTTACAATTTGAATATTAATTCATCAAGATCCAATGTGTCCTTAACTTGTGTATTGCATGAACATTGTCTTTGAACACTTAACTCGAGAACTGTGTCTATCCCAACGAACGAGTAGACAGACTGCCACTCATAACAGATAAAGTCAAGCGATCATATTTAAAAAATAATTTATACAGAAACACTTCTAGCCAACACTGAACACAATCACAAAGAAATGGACAAAGTAAATATTCCAACAGCTGAAACGGGGGTGTAACTGTAAACAAAATCCTGGATTTAAAAGCTTTTGTGCAAATTAAGTTAACGCACAGGCACAAACGTGGCAAACATGGCAGGATGCACTTCCACTTCTTGTCCTTGCACTGGGTAGTTTTATCTGACAGTTCCACAGATTAAGAACATCATGTAGACAAAGTCGGGCCTTGAGGGAGTCTTCTATCCTCCTTTTAAACGCAAGATGCAGTCAATGGCGAAGGGATCGATGGCATTTGAAACATTTATTGTAGAGACTTTAGTGTTGACAGTAAGAAACTGATGGTGCGATACAGTGATGAATCTGTGATTGGTAGTGCTGACCACTGAAGTTACAGACAAAAACAGTCCTTGTCTGCTTGAATGTGGAAATCTGAATCTGATCTGTATATTTAGGCGCTTTTACTCAGCACCATGGGAGATTGTGATGCTTTATAAAACCTATAATCAAACAATTTTCTCCGGTTACAAAAAGTCACTGTTATACCATAGTGTTGCTCTCCCCCACTTTGTCCGCATACTGAAAGAAAAGAAAGAAACCGTGTTAAGTGACAGCTTGTTG